ACAAGTAACACTGACCTCCCTAGTCAGTTGAAGGGTCGACCCCTCACACCCGGCCACTCCCTGAGTGTGAGAGTATCCCCTGGTTACTTCACCTTAGAACGAGCCACTCCTCCGAATTCATGGGTGATAGTAACCTACAAGTTGACGGTCGAAATAAAAGACACAGGTTCTCATACACCCCTTTTTCCGAGCAGACTTCGACTTGCTCTTGCTCTTCTTCCCCTTTCCACGGCCCCCTGACCTTCCGCCTTTGGTCGGAGGCTCAAGCGTGGAGATTTTCGGGGACTGGATGAAGCTATTGTAAACAGTCAGAAAGGGCTTTAAACGAGGATCGCTCTTGGGCACGTTCATTTGTGCCAGGACACTCAACCCCTCGTTGAGGTAAATGCGGGCACTCTTCTGGGTGTGCCACCTTCCTTGCACGAGGATCCGGTCAAGATTATTATGTTTTTGGAACCAAAACGTGGCCCCCCCCCCCCGCCTAAGGGAGTAGGGCCGGAAGCCCAAGTTGGCTATGCCAAGTCCTTCAAGACAGGAATTAAAGAGGGCACGCCACTTGGCAGGTGGTGGAGTAAGACGTGTGGAGGTGTTTGCCACCTTCTTCCATGTGCGGAGAAAACGTACCACAGGCTCATATCCCAGGACTACGCTTTCAGCAGCCCCATGGCGTTTGCCGCCCTTGGTAAAACCTAGGGAGATCAAAGCTTGCAGCTGCCCCTCACCGCACTGCAAGTGCGCAGAGACCAATCCCAAGATTTCGCCGGTGCGCAACATAGAGTAAAACCCCACTAGGAGGGACAAAGCAAAGGATACCCAACCGTTAAACAATACCCATCCTGCCATAGCAAGGACGATGTGCTCAGGCAGGGGTGGCGCCCGTGAAGGGATCTCGTTTGCTTGCCAAGTGCGCAGGAGCCTCCATGCTCCCGGCATATGATTCCGCAGACCCGGCTGTGAGTCCTGGAGGCCTGCTAAAGTATCGCAGGCCTGGGCGCGTCCCTTGCCATTAAACCACAGGGTCTCCAAATAATCACAAACAATTGGGTCGAGTTTGGCTTTGTCAGTGGGGAGTTCGAGTCCTTCGGACTTCAAGAAGGTAAAAAATTCTTGGAGTGCCTTATCATATCGGCGCCTGGTGCTAGGCTGCACTGTAAGTTGCCTCAACGTTCCCATTCTCCTTCGAACCTGCATACGCTCCTCTGGTGTAGCTGCTTCCAAAACTCTCTTAGGCATTGCGGTACTTGGACCGCACCCGCCGACCCCAACGACTGGGCTTATCAGCGGGATTGCTGTCAGTGGCCACGTATGCCCAAATCATCTGCGAATTGCTACACAACAGAAGAGCGTTGATCCTGGAAATGGTTGAACGAAGTTTGCGCGAGCTGGTTCGTCCACGCGTCAGTGCATGTAAACATACCAGACTGTCCGTGAGATGGAGCATGCGACATCCAAGGTGGCCCTGCTTTTCCAGGCGCCAGCGCACTGCATTTAGGATGGCCCGCATCTCCAGCGAGTTGATGTGCTCTTTCCCGCGTGTCCATTGCCAGCCGGTGACAACCTTCCAGCGCCATAGGCGTGAGGGGACGGAAGCTCGCAACCGATGAAAACGAACCATCTGAGTACTTGGCGTGGTGAGGAGGATATCTTCCCCCTTGAGGCTAATGAGATTGGCGCCAGGGCACCCTGCCCCGAAATGCATCCTCTGCCATGGGCCAAGGGTAGCCTCACCAAGCGCTCCTGCAGTGACGCCGCAGTGCCCGGGTGGCACCGTTCCATGATTTCTCCTGGGTTCAACACTGCACTCAGCCCCAACATACGCAGCAGCTGGTTGAGCAGCCAAGCGACCACCGGGACACTCCAGCTGTTGCCAAGGAGGGTGAGCCGAGTGTCGTTAGTGGAGCTTAGCTTCCGAGCATTCTTCGCAACGCAGTTACCTGTGTACCCCAGAGGAAAGCCTAGCATCAGTTCCCGTTCCTGGACATTGGGAATGCGCATCTCCCCACCCCTGTTGACCACACAATGCACGTCTTGGTATTGGTACGGTGGGAAGCGATGCATGTCAGAATGCCAACGCTGAAGGGCCCTGTCCGAACACTGGTTCAACCCCGCCGGTTTTCGGCCTGGTACCTCCGATGGGCGAGAGGTGGTGAACGTCGGAAATGCCTTCGCAGGCTCAACCTTCTTCCAACCAGGCATCAGCATCTCATCCAAACGCGGTTGTGCTTGCAACTGCCAGGAGCTAACCTCTGCTCCCGCCACAAAACTCGCGCCAGGCTCTTCCACCAGAGCCCAAGTAGTCCAGTACAGCCTAGGCCTATGGCACCATGTCATGTCACCAGCGTCAATGTGGACAGGTCTGTCTCCAAAACTGCTACTCATGATGTCACGATCCTTGGCATCCATGGAGCTCACTGACTCCATCAGAACATGGACCTGTGCCCAAGGGAAAGCAAGACGGACCCAGTCCCGCACCCTGGGGACATGGGCGAAAAGGCAAGACCGCTCATCTTTGAGAGCCCCGCGGCGATCAGTATTGAGCCCAGAAACTCCCTGACACGGTGGCCCAGCACCTATCACGATCAGGCTGCACTGCGAATAGCGGAGGCTCCACTTCTTGACCTCTTCAAAGGAGATGCTTGCGACATCCTCAATATGTTCAACACCTGGGTAGTGAGCCTCAACCACCCTCCTCGCCTGAGGGTTCTTCTCCACCGAGATGTACCCGGCGACTTGAACCCCTTGCAGGTCCATCGCCACGCGCAGTGCCCCAATGCCGTCGAAGAGCCCGACCAAGAGCACCGAGTGCTCCGAGATTGCACGCGGCAAACGTCCTCTAAGCTCACCTCGCGCTGCCATCTGCCCTGCTGGTGCCAGGCCTCGTGAGCAGCAGACGCCCCCCCCCGTGCTTGAAGCATCGCTGCATGTAGCCATGGGATGAACCCCCAGCCGGAAGTTCATCCTGACGAGGGGCAGCAAGCCCAGAAAGCGCAAGATCTCAATGCGACAATCAACAGGCAGTGCACGATGCACCGGTCCTCCTTCATTGAAGCTCTCGATAAACCTCTAAACAGCGTTAAGTGCACCCAGGGTTGGCCTCCGAAACATGGCAAAGTAGACGAGGCCACCACAGACCACCTGCATCTGCCGTTGGCTGACCACCGGCTGGTGGAGCAACCTGAGCGCCAGGCTGTAGTACTTGCTCAGCTTCGTCTCCTTGGGGAAGGCGATCCCTGCAACTCCATCCACAGTAGCCCCTTGCAGCTCGCAGTGAGATGATCGAACTACACCTTTCTTGGCATTTCGTGGTACTTGCCAGTGCAGGTACTCCGACCTTAATGCCAAGACACCTGGAGGAGTAGTGCCCTCCAGCTCCACCATGCCCGTGGCCTTGACCTTCTCTAAGAGGTCATAGTTGTCTAAATACACCCGCCATGCCTCTGAAGTCACGGTGAAAGGCCTATCCTTTCGAAGCTCGCACTCCTCATGATGAACACGTTCGCCATCCAAGCGAGACCACTTGACCAGGTTGCGGCGCACGTTTTGTGCTAGGCTTACAGAGTTAAGAAACCCCATGGGCAATACCCGCGACGCCAAGTAGACTGTACCACCCTTCATGTGCTCAGGCAAGCACACGTCTGGCACTCTCTTGTTAAACGCCAAGTACTTCACCCATTCCTGTGGCACCTTCATAGTGTAGAAAAAACACTTCACATCTTCAGAAGAAATCAAGAGGTTCTCGTTGGGCTGCAAGAAATATGGGTTCATCATGCCCCAAGAGGGGAGGGTGTCAACATCTCCGGAAAGGGGTTCGGATATGGAATTCAAAGGGACCAAATTCATGATCAGGCGACAGATCTCCGTCCCGTCATCAGTCCACTCCTCCTTGCTCACTCCAAAAAGTCCGTTAAGCAAGGGTCCATCCCCCGCGTCAAACACGGCCTCCTCCTCGATGTAGCAGCACACCCCCGCCTCAACGAGTCCGGTGCACAGCTGTGCCCATGCATGGTCCTCCACCATTACCTTGGGTCTGGTCACCTTTCCCCACTGCTCCCGGGGCTTAAGGAAGCCATCAAAGGAGCACACATACTCCCGACAACCGAGCGTGCAAACCTCCTCCAGTGGCACAAGCCCAATTTCCTTTGGGAGAGCAGGTGCAATGTTAGGCCATGCGACCTTCCGCGCAACCCGAACCTCATCCCCCTTGTAGTCAATACCTCTCACCATAAAGAATTGTTCCCAATCAACCCCAACCAGCCTAAGATCCAGTTGGCAAAAGCGTGAAACGTCCTCTCGAATCGAATTCAAAGCCCTAATCTGAAGTGTCGTCGGTTGTCGGTCGTCAGTGCCGAACACCCCCCAATAGGAGTTCAGAGACAGGCCAACACAAATCACCCACTGCTTCACCTCTTCTGGGACATTAGGCCAAAGGTGCGATAAAACAGAGTAGGAGGTAGGTAAGGGCAGCAAGGCGCACGCTGCATCCTTACCCGGGGTCTTGCTGCGAAGTGGTAAAACCTCCAACAGTTTCTGCACCAAAAAAGCCCCCGACCCAGAGATAGAAGAAACTGAAAGCCCCAAGCCGCTCGCACTTTTTTCCGCAGTCAGATCGACCGGTTCGGTGTCTCCACTCCTATCGCCACATCCATGAAAAGAGGGTGGCCGCGGTGGAAAGACTGAAGAATCCGCGACGGCTGACATAGCCGCCTCATCGGCCGAGACCCGAGGGCCATTGGCCGGCTCCATGCAAAAGAAGTTGCCACGCCGCTCCTGCACCAACTCTTCGCCATCAAGGCGGTTCTCAATGCAGCTCGGCCTAAGGCCTGTACCCTGTAGTTCATAGTCAGGCTCCCGGTCCCAGGAGCTCACCCCTGCTTGTGGTCGTCCTCCTTCTTCTTGCCCTTTTCGAACTTGCCCGAACCTTTGCCTTTGCCTCGATCTCGATCTCGCCTGGCGAAGTCCTGGTTGGGCGCTTCTTTGCCCTTTGCCATGCCCTTGCTCCGACTCCGCCCATCGGGCAGCGATGCCAAATGCCTCGTCTTGGCGTCCTCCGCCGCTGCCCTTTGTGCACTCATCAGTTCCTCTCGGGGTGCAATGGTCTGTAGATCCAAAGGCGGCAATTCCAACCTTTGGGACACACTCCAATGGCTTCCAGCCATCGTCGCCTCGATGGACTTCACCCTTTGAAGGATGCAGTCCACTGCCTGAGCTGCTCGTCCACGAAGTAGATAGTCCACCGAGCTGCAAAGCGTGGGCAGCTCGCGGGCGACCGGGCCCGTCGACTTCCTCTGCAGCTCCTGACGGAAGTATTGCACCGCCGTGGGTGTGACCAACTGTGAATGCTCCTCGAACCCCGCCGTCTGAAGCAGGACCCGTCTCATGTCTGCCAGGGACCTCGCCCCGAGAGCCCCAGGGCAACTGTCTGCGACCCTTTGGATCTTCGTAGCCCCTTCGAAGAAGCCCTCCTCCTGAGCAAAGTCGATCTCCTGGTCGTGGTTGGATGTGGAGCTCCGGCTGCTGCTTTCTCGCCTGTCCTGTTTCTTTCGCCGCACCAACCGCTTGGCACGTCTGGCCACTCGGCGTCTGGTTTTTCTTTGACATCCAGCCCTGTGCCCGCGAATAGCGCCTGCAGGCTCTTCGAAGAGGCCGCACGCGGCATAGTCCCATCGGTTTGAATCACTGGGCTGGAGCTCGAAGAACCCACTTTGGCGACCTTGTCCTCCTTGCTCCCCTTCGCATGCTCTTTTTTGCTTCTCTTCATGGATGGTGACCTGGACCTCTCCTTCATCTTCTTCCTGCCGCCGGGACTTGCGTCCCTCTCCTTCTCCTTTTTCTTCCGCTTCTTGCTGCGCTCCCGTCGCCGGGAACGACTTTTGTCCTTCTCCTTGGCCTCTTTGAGCTCGTCCCTCTTCTCGCGTAGGTCCTTGAGGTCGTCGCCAGCTGGCCTCTCGACCGCAACCAGATTCCGGCACCAATGCTCTTCCTCCTCGTGACCTCTGGACTGCCTCACCTTCTTGATGTGGATGAGGTCCTCTGCAACGCGATCCCCGGAACACGTAGGGCCGCACAAGTGACCGCGAAGATGTTCTCCTGGAGCTCCTGTGCAATGCTTGAGCAACGACTCCAGATCGGTGCCTGTCGCCTGAAGGAGGACGTGCGTCGCCTCCCTCTCGACCTCGAGACCTCGGATGGTCCCTGCCACGCGACATGCAGCCCCGAAGTATGACCCTTCGTCGATGACCAGCTCCACGCCCTTGGCAAGTTCGGCCACGGGCACGTCCGCGCCCTGAACTGTCAGGCCTCGACCCCAAAGCTCCCGAGGAACAGGAGCTGAATCGTCTCGATGAAGGCCGGCAGGACGTCGCAGAACTCCTCCATGAGCTGGCCTTATCCGCATAGCTAGACGCGCCTTGGGCTTGGCTCGTGCCTTGACCTTGGCTGCTGCTTTCCCTTTTGCCTTTGGGGGCATTGTGACTACCGCCGACTGTAGGGCCAATAACGGCCCCGTTCCCGATGCTTGACTCCTTTTGTGCCTCTCTTCTTGTATGGCCTCCTCTCAATGGACTTTGACCTCTCTCTATGATGATATCGGTCTCGTCGATCGAAATCTCGCCCACGCCTGGGTGATCTGGACTCCTCGGCCGCCTAGGGGCCGGTGGAGGTGTTGGCAATTCGTGATGCCTGGAGTGCGGTGTCCCTGACCCTTTTGGGGCCGGCTTCAACTCAAACTTCTTTGGGTTCTCGTGCACCTGCAAGTCCTTCTCCTCCTGCGTGGTGGTCAGGTCCTCAACTGGTGCTGCAGTGCTCCCAGCACCGGCTTGCTCCTCGTCCTCGGTCTGGTGTCTCTTCTTCTTGCGCTTCTCCTTCTTGGTGGAAGGGCCGCTCTTGTGCTTCCTCTTCCTTTTCTTCTTTTTGACCTCTGTCTCTCCTCCACGAGCCTCCTTCTCCGACAAGGGGATGGCCTGTACTGTCTCAACTGGCTCCTTCTCCTCGGTGTGCTCTTCCTTCGTGCGCTCACTGAAGTTACCCGGCGGTGCTTCCAGCACCGGCTCTGTCGATGGAGCAGGAGCTGCTTCCGCTGCTCCCGACCCAGGACTGGCCTCTCCCTCAAAGCCCGGGGGGTTGGACTCTGCCTTTTCCTTTTTCGATTGCCAGCTCGCTCAAGTCCTCGATGGCGCCGCAAGCCGAACGCAGGATCTGTATGATCGCCTCCTCTTGCGACCTCAGAAAAGCACCAGTCCTGAAAAGGTTTTGTATTCGGCACAAAGTCCGGCACGAAGGGCACGTAGTGGGTCTGGATGCCCAGAAGTGGCAACCAGTGCAATGCATGCACCGACAGGATCAGCTGAGAACCGAAACGCTACGAACAAAACAAACACGTGCATCTTAACCACCGGGGGCGTTAGTACATATATGGCACCCCCTTCTTCCCAACCAAGTGCAAAATATCTTGAGATGGTAGACTTTGGGGGGGTACTCTATATGTATATATAAATATATGTATATATATATATTATATATATAAGCAGTTGAAACACGGCGGGGTTTCCACCTGTGGGTTGCCTTGCCAGCCACATGGTCACATCAAAATCGGACAGCGGGTTGTCGCTCAATTCAAGAGTGGACCGATACATCCCGAAACTGTTTGAGAAGAGAACTCCGTTCATAAGTGTCATTTAGTATCTGATAAAGCCACAATACAGTGGAGGATGCTCAGTGTCATCTTGCAATCCGAATGGTTCACAGCAAAGCAGGCCTGTGGGACACATACAAAACGTACTGTGATGTATGATGCATGGGAGGGAGAAGTTTCTCTTGCATCACACAGCAAGCCTCTAACCAAAAAAAGGAATTGCTGGTACACCAGAAGGGGGGTTTGGCCAAACGAAGCGCAGTGGATACAGAGTTTCACACTCTCCCATCCGCTTCTGTGACGGAAGAAGCACCAAATCACAATCAAAGAGCTTCACAGTGTTCAGAATTTCAGGCATCTCGTTTCCCTTCGGACGCTATTTATTGAGTTAATTGATTGCCATTTACCTACGTACGAGCATTGGTTTCAGTAAGATCTTTGGGCCTTGTTTGGGGAAGGCAGGGAAGTCACAAGGAGAAACCTGTCACTCAACCCACTTTCCACATCATGCGGACATGAGTCTCAAGCCTGTACTGCCGCCAAGGGCTTCTTCCACTGTATACTGCTCCAGCTCGGCGCCGTGGTCTGTGCGAAACCAGGACATGTACACCTCGCTTCACAGCCTGCAAGCCTTCCTAGGGGCTGAACTTCCCAAAGAGTCGGTGCTCACGATCTGGTTCCAAATACTATCTAAATATGCATTTTGTTTCAAGGGTCATGTCCAATGTCTTCCCTACGTTCCTATAGGTACACATCAAAGGCTCCAACACAAGAATGAACCATCATTCCATCATCCAGTCAGGCCCACTTCTGCAATAAAACACACCTCCGGTCATGTCACCCGTTCAGCCGAACCTCACAGACTTCTGCACCGGAGGAAGATGTCCGCCGCAAAGGTCGGCCCTCCCGAAAGAGCTGCCTCGGCAACAAACTTCTTGGAATCGATGGGTGTCAGAGCTACGCTGGCGCTGGCACCCAAAGTTAATTGTTTTTCATGAATTTATAGGGGGGCCATATCAACCAACTTTGGGATCTTTGGGGGATTGCGCCATCTACCATTGGAATCGAGCACTTGAACCAGAATTCTTGGGGAGCGGAAACTGAGGAAATTTTTGAACACCGACACAAGATCGCTTGCTGCACAAATCGTCACGTGCTCAAGCTTTCTGAGAGCAGCCTGCAAATGAAAGCCCTTGAATCCTCGCTTCAAGAGAGCCTGGGGGCACGTGTCCGATTTAGACACCCAAAAAGAAAAAGGTTCCCATAGAAATGGTTCAAAACCAAGGCGAAAGCAAGGGGAGCGAACCTAATTGAACCGGCGTTGGCCGAAAGTCAGTGGTCTTTCCGAAGTTATGTAAACTTCAGATTCAACAACAGGAGTGAAACAGCCACTGATCCCTAGAATGAAGTAGCAATGATTTGCCTACATGGTTTTCACTATCTGGTCTTACCACATTGGAACACGACACTTCTGTGAATCGTTGTAAGAATCTTCATACAATTGATTGATTCAATTACGTTTGTTTTTGGTCAATTGTCCGGCCCGTAACCGTTTTAAAGCTTGGCAGTTTGGCATCAGCCACCGATGGTCAGCTGGTCCACTGCCCTCTGAGATTCCCAAGCAATAGTTGAGAGCTCTCGAGGCCTCGCACGACTGCATGACACAAGATGGAACCCAAGAACCCAGATGCAAACACGCGCTCGAAAACAAACGGCCAAACATTGTGTGACACTCTTGTAAGACACTCTTGAATACGGTGCTCTTGTGGGACACTCTTGCGGCACACTCTTGTGGGACACTCTCGGACACTCTTCTGGGATGGTCTCGTGGGACACTCTTGCGGGACACTCTTGTACGAGACACTCTTGTGGGAGACACTCTTGTGGGACGCTCTTGTAAAAAACACTCTTGTGGGACATTCTTGTGCAAAACTTTGGTGGGACACTCTAGCGCGACATGCTTGTAAGAGACATTCTTGTAGAACACTCTTCTGGGACACTCTTGTGGGAGACGCTTGCCGGACACTCTTGTGGGACTCTTGTAAGACACTCTTATAGAAAACTCTTGTGGGGCACTCTCCGATAACACACTTTTGTGGAAAACTCTTGTGGGACAGTTTTGTGGGGCACTCTTGTGGGACTCCTTTGTGGCACGGTCTTGTGAGACACTCTTGCAAGACACTCTACTCTTATGTCTTATGGGACACTCTTGTAGGACACTCTTGTGGAAGATTCTTGTAGGGCACTCTTGTTGAAGACTCTTGTCGGACACTCGCTCTGCGACACTCTTGTGGTGTGCTACAGCTGCTACAGACTATACAACAAAGTGACACCAAGCCTCGTGGGCACCGCCAATCATCCCGCTCCCCAGCGACACGCCACCGAGGCCGGAGGCCGCGCCAAACCACATGGCACAGCGATCATTTGGCCACACGGTGCGCCACAGACTAAGTTGCCAGTTCTGAGGCCACTCCCCAGTTCTGAGGCCACAGCCCACAAGCAGCTTCCCGCACCCAGAAGCTGCTTCCTTTTGCACTACCAGTGGCCAGTTCTCAGGCCTCAGCTCCCAGAAGCTGCTTCCCATAATACATAATTACCAGTTCTTCTGAGGCCACAGCTCCCAAGAGCAACACTGTGTACAAGACTTCTGTGTGAAATGTGAAACTAGCGTTTCCTACGAGACTTCATCCAAAGTCACACGTCAAGACTTCTTCCAAAACTCACGCGTGAAGTCTGCAATACGAGCACTTCGCAAGAGACTTCCTCCAAAACTCACGCGTCAAGTCTCCTTTCCTCCAAACGTAACAGGTCAAGTCTCCAAAAATGAGGATCTAAAGCCCCTCGTCAAAGTCACCGTCAACTCTTCAAAACGAGCGTTTGGTACGAGCGTTTTGCGTGAGACCCAAGCAGCTTCGCAATCCCAGCCCCCACAAAGCCATTCCTTCTGACACAGCGACATTCACCTCCACCAAAGGTCGCAACCTCACGACTCCCTGCGCCTAAGCTTGGACACTGGACACCTCCAACACGGACAGGTACTCCTCCGACATGACAGCCTCATGTCTTCAGCAAAACCTTGCACCACACCATTGCACTGACTTCGACGCGTTCTCAGCACACTCCCATCCACAAAAGTCGCCGCTTTAGCTGAAACTTCTCAGGAAGACACTGTCACAGCTTCGAAGCAACAGCCTGAAGGGCAAATCCCAATGTCACAGCCACATCCAGCACCTCAAACATACCACCCTCTAGGCGCCAATCCCAGCGAAGGACACTGAGGCACCCGCGCAGTAAAGTCATCCTCCACACTTTAACATGATACGTTTCCACACGTTTCCTCGCTCTGACACGTCATGCTTCCATCTAAAAGCTTCGCCCAATGTCAGCGCCATAGCGACCTACTGAGGACGGTTGCGAACGGTACGACAACGAGTCGCGAACAAGTGTCTACCCCCAGACCCCCAGAGTTAAACGAGAACCCTTCGCTACGCATTCGGGAATAAAAAGCATCACAAAAAACAGAATGTAAAAGTATATGTTCTTGAAACCAAAAAACACAGAATCACCATCCGAACCCTTTGTTTCCATGCTCTCGAGGCTGCAAGCAAAATGGTAATCTCACGCCCAGCCCGTTCGCCTCTCTCTTGGAGGCGCTTGTCATTCAGCACATGCCAGTCATTGACTTGAACAAAGTCCTCCTTCCCCAGCTCAGAGTGGGTCAAAATCCCAACACATCACTCGATTCTCTCAGACATTCTCAGACTATCACGCATGTGCTGCCCTAGGCGTTAAAATTCCTACGAAACTGCAAGAGTCACCTCGAGTACAAAGGGGACACCTCGAAATGCGTTGTACTGGAGGAAATTCCTTAACTATCAATAACATTCAACAACTATCAGCCAAATCTCCCACATAGTTCAGTCTATACCAATACTTCACCAAATGTATATAGAAAAAGGCCAACCAAATGGACCGGAAGCACTTGCATCCCTTTTCATATTGCATCCACCTTGTCTCGTGTTTTGGATGTGTCGTTTCTCACCCCGGCCTGGCTCAGGGGGCAAAGCTTTGGCCCCTCCGAGCTCAACTCCCAACACGAGGACACCGGTGGCCTCTTCTCGATCGGCCTGGCATCGAGCGTTGAGCCAGACCGGTGGCTCCACCGACCTGCCTGCCTGCCGCGTCCCAAAACATCACGATGTGGCAGCGTTTCAGTTGCGTGTTCAAAGACCAACAAACACTGATCTTTCAGAGTGAAATCATCTGCAATCGCATTCAATCTACGATCCACGTGCGACGCTGCCAGGAAGAAAAGTTGGCCCGTCTTTTCCGTGTGCGAGACACGTGCTTGCTTGATGTTGTGTGACACCAGCCGTTCTACACAACCCACATAAACTTTGCCTTTTGGTCATTCTGCTGTCGCAAATAGCCTGCTTCGTTGGCTCTTTGCTTCAACATGACAGCTTCGCGTACTGGGAGGTAAACTTGGCGTCCTAGAAGGCGCCTGGATGGGCAAAGGTGATTCCACGCCAACAATGTGATCTTTTGGAGTCCGTATAAAGATCAACAGGCAAACCTTATGGGTTGGGCGCGGGGAAGTTCAAGGCATCTCGTGGGCCACGTCATGGTCAATGGTCTGACTTAGGGCTACTAGTAACAAAGAAGCTACTAGGAACAAAGGGCATCACTATTAGGAGCAAGGACGCTACTAGGGGCTCCTGGCCATACTACTAGGAGCAAGAAGCTCTACTAACTAGGAACAAAGGGCATCGCTGCGAGGGGCTCCTGGCTTTACTACTAGGAGCAAGAAGCTAGTAGGAACAAAGGGCATGGCTACTAGGAGCAAGGACGCTACTAGGCGCTCCTGGCCTTACTAGGAGCAAAGAAGCTACTAGGAACAAAGGGCATCGCTACTAGGAGCAAGGACGCTACTAGGGGCTCCTGGCCTTACTAGGAGCAAGAAGCTACTAGGAACAAAGGGCATCGCTACTAGGAGCAAAGCCGAGTATCAGCCGTGGCCCTTTTTCGCATGCAGGCGAGATCGAGGGCTGATTTGGTCGAACGTTCGACCGATTCCGTGCTTCACCAAAGCTGGAGTTAAACATGTCTGGATCAAAGAAACGTCGGGTGCAAAATAAAGGTAAATCCTCAGGATCCCAACAACACTGATGGAAGCCCCAAATTACAGTTAGCTCCTATGATACTGTCAGATGCTGCAGTGGAACCAAAGTCGCACCACCAAGGGCCCCGACTGGATAAAGATGTTGGAAGACTGAGTGAGCCAACCACCAAATGGGCCACCTAAGAATCGGATTGCACACACAAGCGAACCATCAAAACCTGTGGAACATCAGACAGTTTTCGAGTTTGATGGGGGGTTCCAGTCAACAGTAGCTGTTTGCTGAGAGTCTTGGAGGCTGCACCACCAGAATGCAAGTGTGGGCACCCACCCAAGCTTCAACTAAAGTCTGTCTAGCAGCCTAGCACGTTACTGAATTCCACTCGTCGAGGGACACTGGGTGCCCACCGGCCCCAGCCAATAGGGTGTCTCTGTGTGGCCCACTCGGTTCGGAGGAGCATCAAGAGTGCAAAGTCATCGGGTTCGGTGCTGGAGCACTGCTTGATGTGATCCTCTGCCTCGGCCAGGGGGCGGTTTTGCAGGGGCCTTCAGGGGCCAGGGGCCGCCAAACCAATGTTCATCATTAACAAGAGGAGTAAAAACACTCAATCCCTGTACTTGTGCAAAAAAACACGCAACAAAAGTAGCACAAGCGTCGCTCCCTGACAGTGGGAGGGAATCTTTACGAATCGCTATATTCTAGGCACAACCTGGTCTGGTCCAAAGTCAGTGTCTACCGCAAGTTCCGAGAGTTCTTGCCCTGCTTGTTTCAGGCACCACTAAGATCCACTTAAGAAATGGCCCCAGCCACCGGCGCTCCGCTCTGCTCGACCGCTCCACCTGGCGGCCTGGGTGCCCTGGCAGAGTTCACCAACTCTTTGGCCTGAACGGCCGAAATCTGAAGGGCCGAAGCTGCATGGTTCACCAGAACGCTCCTAGGGGCTCCTGGCCTTACTACTAGGAGCAAGGACGCTCCTAGGGGCTCCTGGCCTTACTACTAGGAGCAAGGACGCTCCTAGGGGCTCCTGGCCTTACTACTAGGAGCAAGAAGCTACTAGGGGCTCCTGGCCTGCCCGACCTTTTTTCACAACAAAAAAATAACAGAAAGCGACGTCGTGACGACGTCTGGTTCGCGGTTCTGAACGTCGTGCGTGATCCTCTGACGCTGACGCGTCATGTGAGTGGTTGGGTAGGATAAGTATGTCAAGCGTCTGACAATACCATATTGAACCTGTGGCAGCTAGTAACCCCAGCCTTCCCTTTTCACACGAAGAACCATGAAATATCTTTGAGAAACAAAGCATATCGTATATGAAGTCTCTATATATATATCACATAAATATGTATATGTTTATATTTAGTTATAAGGTTGTATGCCTTATGTGTGCCACACCTCTTCGGTCCGCCACACCTCCCGCCTCGTCTCGGATGCCCGAGTCCTTCTCCTGAGAGAGCACCAAGGCTGAGGCCAAATAGCCCATCGCCTCGACGGCACGGACGCTGCTCCGTCGCATGACCCAAGGGCGCCCGAAAGAGTGTAGCACTGTAGCACGAAAAAGAGCCACATGGACGTGCAGAGCACCAAGTATATTGACTACACCACTTGAGAGTATTGAACCAACACTTGAACAACAAGTCTACAATACCTCTGCACCAGCATACAATGAGCTAAATGAAAGCTTGTAACGGTCACAATCTCTTTCTTTTGCCTGTCGGAGCTCCTTCCATCCATTGCATCTTTCATCATCTTTCATGTCAGGGCCCGACTTTTTTGCGCTGAATCCTATTCTGATGCTCTTCCTTGGTGGCAGCTGTGTGGAGTCCGAATAGTTCAACTGCTGGACCTGTGCAGACCAAGAGCACTTCAGCCGAAGTGCGACCCTTCAGACCTCCTTTTCATCTCTTCACCCCCATTCACCCCGCCTTGGCCGCGCTGCACCCCCCACGCGCGCTGGGCGCCCGCGGGTCGGCGCGCGCCAAGAAGTGGACGGAGTCCTCGAGACTGGAGACTCCGAGCTCGACCGGCGAATCCTCCGAGTGGGAGATGTTGAATGCTAGTGCTGCTAGTGGATTGAGAACAGTTGATGGACTCAGAGTTGTTGATTCTTGGGAATTCACTTGGTCGGACCGCTCAAACGATTCAAACGACGAAATGAACACCTGTGGAAGGCCAAAGAACAAAAAAATTGGGGTCCACACCACGAGCGGCGGCGTCTGGCCATGAACTAAATGTCCCTGGACCTGGGAAAGCTCGGCTATCATAGGCTGGGCTATCACGGTGGTGATTTGGGGTGACTCTGTCGCCGTGTTCAATCCATCCTAATTGCAAACTACCGTAAAGACCTTCTTTTATTTGGCCCGCTCCCCACCCCTGCCCTACTTAAATAAAGGAACTGAGGTCGCTAGTATGGCTAGTACGTACAAGTGGACGCTACTAACTGCTGGACGCAGGACACCGTCTCCCGCTTCCGCTGAAGAAGCACGAAGCACTGTGACGATGTTGTGTCTAGATTTTGAGGGAAACTTCAGCGATGGCCTCCAACCTAGTAATGCAAATCTTCACAAATCCTCTGCTCACTCTGATTCGCTCTTGTCCTTTCTGAGTCCTCTGATGTCCTCTGGTGTCCTCTGATGTCCTCAGTCCGAAATCAAAGAGAGGGAGACAAATCGCAGGACCATGAGTCGGGATGACCATGAGAGTCGCTGGGTCTCCTGGTTTCACCGGGTCTCGACGTCTCCAGCTCTGAGAGTCCCAGGCCCAGTTGCGAAATCGCACGTGGTCATCACTCAACAAGGGTTGCCACCGTCCTCAGCGAGACCGGTTTTTCGTGACAAAGGAAGATGACTTCGTTGTGTTAGACCTGCAATGGTGGTCCAGCATACTTTGAAGTGAATGTCCTGCAGAGAGGGCGCTCCAAGCTACGATGGAGTGTCTTTTTTCTGGAAAGCTACGTTGCCTGTCCTTTGCCAAGCAGGTGCTTCGTTTCAGTGAGTTCCCCAGCGCGTGGCATCTGGCACAATGTCCTGCAGGACTGAAGAGGCATCTGAGGCTTCTCCCCTCTAGGTATTTGAAGAAAAGAACATTGTTCTTGTGAAAAGGCCGTATGTTCACACCAGCCACAAGATTCACAAGCCGGCGCCAACGGTGCTCCTCCCACGGCTCTTCAGAGGATGGCGCCTCCTCAGCTTCAAGCTGCGCCTTGTGTCG